CTGGGTACCGCGCCCACTGCTCTACCTCCCTGGCATCTGCTGGCTGTGTTTGAAATGTGTCCTCTGAAGAGTTCATGTATTGGGACCTGGGTACAGGTTGGCTCACTGGGTGGCGTGGAGCCTTGAGCAGGTGGAAGCGGCCCTGCTGGAGGTCTCCCTGTTGTGGAGTGAGCCTTGGCTGCTCTGGCTTCCTATTTGAGACATCGGCTCACGCGTGCTCGCAGCACAGGGTGATGCAGAAGGGTGCCACGGCCATCCCCTGTACCACCTAACTAACTGAGATGTCCTCCTGGCCCTCCACAGAACAGGCTGTTCTTGTCCTTGGGTGGGACACAGGCTTCCTCCCTTCTCCAAGGGATCCAGGTTGGCTGCACTTCCATCGGACCTGAATCCAGTGCATCAGTAGAACTGCAGGTTTTGTACAAGAGATGGGGTATCTTTCCGTCCAAGTTCCTCCGCTACTGAAAGGAACATTTAGTACCCAACTTCGCTCAAGAAGCAAACACACTGCTTCCACTTAAGGAAAGATGGTTTTTGGGTAGGGAAGCCACTAAGATGAATGACGGTGAACGTAAGTTGCAAAAGCTCTAGTCTGTCATTTAATAAGCAGGTCAGGAAATACAATGCCTGGACTACAGGTCATTAGTGCTTATAGTACTAAAAAGCCTTCTTTCTAATTCAGGGTAGTTGTTTGTAAGATTCATGCCATTTGGAAGGCTTCACAGATGCACTGTTGTCTCAGGGGTCAGAGCTCACTCTGGCCCAGGAGACTTGGGACCTGAATAAATCATTTGCGTAATGGTGCTGGGTGCAGGGCCGGCCTGCTGGGCCACCCTGGCACTTGCCACAATGTGAACCCTAGCCAGCTACTGCGAGTGATCACAAAGAGTGACTACACCTCCAGGGAGGACTAACTTTTCTAGGCTTTGCACACGCATACTGCTTTTGCTGTTCTAACGACAAGAAAGGAACATCTCCTTGCAAGACTGAGGCAACTGGATTAAATTAGTGCCCCACTTGGATGTGATTCTTTTGATGATTGATTTTAAATCAATTAAAGGGTACCAGCTCAATTGTCAGTCTCTGGCCTTAAGCACAATTATGTAGTGTCCCTAAATGTTAGTCATCTTCATGAGTGATAAAGTCGGGTGTGTTAGTTGACACATTGTGTCAACTTGGCTGAATCAGTCCCCGCAGTTCTCAGCGTGGGGGCCTAGCCCTGCAGGTGGGCAGGGCCCAGGAATTGAGAAAGGCTTCCTGCCACCCTGCCCCCGCTTCCCTGGAGAAGTCCCAGTCTTCGGAGAAGCTTCATCTTTGCAGCCGCGGCACTTTAATCGCCAGTCAGTGCAGAAGGGAGAGAGAGGCTTGATGGACGGCGCAGCTGCTGCTCCTCCTCTGCTCTTTATTGTTTTTTGCCGTGTGAACTGCTGTTGTTTGCCTTGGAGCCAGAGAAGTGTAGACTGAACCTTCTAGTAACTGTGAGCTAAATAAACCTTTCCTTCCTTCCTTCCTTCCTTGAGTAAAATGTAGCTAAGACATCGGGGGAATTTAATTTGATTCCAGGTTGGCAGAACATGTTGCTACAAAGTCATACAAAGGTTCCCACCAGAGAGGTTGTGGGACATAGTATCGGGGCTTGACTCAGAAAACAGGTGACCCACAGAGGAGGGCTCTGTCCTGAGGAGCCACTTCTGGGCTGTGCTCCTCTGGGCAGCCGGATTCTCCTCCCGCCTCCATTGTAGGGCTTCCCAAGGGAGGCCACGCCTGTCCTTGCCTCAGAGTAGCAAAATGGTCAGTAGCGAGAGATAAGCAGACAAACAAGCAGGATGTAGGAGAAGCCAGAAAAGTAGTAGGAAGAGAGGCATGAGGGAAGTTGTCAGACCTGCAGGTCACAGGCACGGGAAGGAGGAATGCTAAAGATGGGGCAGGGGCACGTGGAGGGGCTGCTATAGGAAAGAAGGGGTCTTACAGGGCTTTGCTTCTGAACATGCAGCTCAGCCCAGACAGCTGCCCAGCCAGTCAGCTCCTAGGAAGGACGCAGCTCCTCGTGCCTGGGTGGGTAGGAGAGGACAGTCCCAGAGGCAGGGCAGCCAGCCACGGATGTGCACTTTGTGTGACCACAATCTCCGCAGTGAGAGCTGGAAGCCAGACCCCAACTCTAAAGTCTGTGCCTCTCAGATATTTGTCATAGACTTAGTATAAGTGATTAATAGTGCAGTAGAGTTTAATACACATTTCCCAAGTTGGTTATTTCAAGATAGTGTTTGAACTTAAGGCCTTGCCCTTGCCAGGCAGGCGCCTATGCTGCTGAGCTACATCCCCACCTTCAGTGTGGTGTTTTGCACCTCTTATCACAGGACTTAAAACAGATGATGGTGGAGGCATCTGGAGCCCGGCAACAGGTGAGTTTTGTAGTCTGTGAAAGAGTGACCTTGCAGAAGGAAAAGAATGACCCTTAAAATCCTGCCTGAGGTCTCTGCTGGGAGACTCAGAGAAGCAGCAGGATCACTGGAAGCAGGAATATTTCATCTGGTCATGATATATACATTTCTAAAGAGGAGCATATTTGTAGAAATGGTTGAAAACAGAATAAAAAATATCATGCCCACTTCCAAGCAGAAGAAGCACTCCATCCATTCTGAAATGCACTGAAAATCCTCATCAATAGGTCTTTTCTCAAATAACATCAGCTGTTTGGAAACTATGGGGGACCCTTCTGTAGGTCTACAAAACCTATGGATTGTACTTTTAGCATTATCAGGGAATGATTTCATTCACGTCCCTGGCATTCACAGAGTCTGCCCCTTGCAGAGAAAAGGACCTCTTTCCTCAGTATCTAGTATTTCTCGCTACCTACTTTGCTCTTAAATGATAGGGTGATTTTTGACTTTGAAGCATTCGTTTGGACAGAGCTGACCACACCACACAGCAGCAAGGCATCATTCTCCATCAGAACCTCAGAGCTGTGAAAACAGACTTCTTACCTGTCTGCCCAGGACCAGCAGTGTGATGAAGAATATGGAGAGAGACACGGAGCCCATGGTCTTCAGGTCTTTCCAAATGCCTGGCCTATTAAAAAAAAAACAACCAACCAGTAGACAGACAGACAGACAGACAGACAGACAGACAGACAACATGCACAAGACTTAGAATTCAAGTAGTGACAAGCTTCAGAATCTCTAATGCATAGGTAAGTTGTAGCCCAGTGAAACACTTATTTCACATATATCTCTAAGCCAAGCTTGTCCATAAGCAAAAACAATTTATTTTGAGAAGGCAGTAATAGAAGACTTTAAATCAACCCAGACTTCCTACTGTATATTAAGCTATGATCAATATAAAACTGATAAAGGATGAATGGCATTTGGTTTATTCTTTTGGGATCAGTATATATTCAGTATAACTAAATATATGTCTTCCTGTGTGTTTTCCCTTCTTTCCAACCTGTGCTGCTCCTGAGCTTTCAGGTGATTTTGCATAACAGGGATGGAAAGTGCACTGGGCCTGCCTGTTCTCAGGGCCAGTGACCGTCAGGGACTGAGTGTGCTCAGGTCTGGCCAGGCTGGGCACGGCTCACCCTTCTCACCACAACCTTATGGGCAGTGGAGACCAACACAGGAAGACGTCTACAGGCATTCTAGGGTGGGGCGGGGTCTGCATTCCCTGCCAGGTGGTTGCTTCCCACACACGACACACAGGAGACGTGGAGCAGAGGAGCTCGCTCGCATGGGTCTACTGCTCCATATACCACAGAGCATCAGATGCAGTGTAGGGTCAAGCATAGGGCACTAGCACAGGGACCAAACTGTCGCTTTATGCAGTGTGCTGTCCTTACTTTGTGATTTTCTGTTTTCACCAGGCAGGGCCCAAGGGCAGATGACACAGTAAGAGGATGTGGTGTAGAGCTCAGGGGCTCAGAAGGCTTTGGAGTCAGAGACCCAGGTTTGAACTTGAGCTGCGAGACACTGGGTGAGCCCTCCTGAGCAGATGCGCCTCACCAGTCACAGGAGGGAGCAGCACCTCCTTGCCTGCCTGCCGAACCTGCTTGCACAGTTCATGCCAGCTCTGTCTGTCTGTCTGTCTGTCTGTCTGTCTGTCTGTCTGTCTGTCTGTCTGTCTGTCTGTCTGTCTAATCTGGTACATAGGAAGCTCTCTGAGAGTAGCACTCATGATTTTTAGTGTTAATTGTGGGATTATAAGAGAAGGGAATGGGGCTAGGAGCCAGATAAAAGCATAAGGTAATGAACCTTAGCAAATTTCACTGACAGAATTAAGGACCCAAATACAAGGGAAAAGCGGGACAAGGAAACACAAGTGCTTTGGCCCAATCTTGTAAAACCTAGCTGTTCTTCTCTGGGCCCGTGGTGCCATGTCTAACGGCACAGTTGCAGTGACCGAGAGAAGCACGTGTACAAAAACAATGCTGACTTCAGCGAGCTTTAAGTTCACTTTTGTCCACACTGACCGCACAATCACTTTACACACTAGTTGGTTAAAGCAACACAACACATCCAGCATCCCAAGAGGATGGTGCAGGCTGAGCTTTTCATTTTTTCTAGCTTGACAAATAGGATGCTAACACTCCAGTTCTAAGGGCCAAAAGAAAGAAGCTCGGACACCCCAACTAAGAGTCAAAACTGAATGCCAGGCGAGGTGGTGCGCCAGCTCCGTGAGCGTAGCGAATGAGAACTCAGCAACTCTTTGCACTCGCTGGTAAGGGGCCAGCATCCCAAATGTACAAAGCCAGACTGGAAGAGACCTCTTACGCAATTCAGGATGTGATGGGTTTCTGGTTAACACACAGAAAATGCATACAAGGAACTTGTTGAAGGAAATCCTTCTTGGGGACTCCTAACATTAACACACAAACTAAGGAAGGCTTCGGTGGGCTAACACTCTACTCCACCGGTCTTCCAAGTCTTGTATTTTACTTAACATAGTGACAAGGCACAATAGGGATATGGAAGAAGATGGGGATACAGAAGAACCAAGATAAAGCTCTCCTTGCTGGTCTGGGGAGATGAGAAAGTGCCAACCTACATGGACCCCAGAAATAGCACAGCACACCGGCCTGCAGGACACAGCTGTGTCGTGAGACACAGGCGCTTTTTCTGAAATTCTCTGTGCAGTTGCAAGGACTTCATATTGCCTCTTAGATTTTAATGACACTTCTTGAGTACTTCGTTCATCTAGTGAGTAAAAAGAACTGCCAACGTACACCAGTGGCTGTCTCCCATCGGGGCTGCTGGGCATCTCATGGTCCGGTTTTGGGCTGTATGTGTTTGTGTTAAGGTGGGAGAGGTGGGTGGAGGTGGAGGGGAAAGTGGAAAAGAATCCAGGCGATGGCATGGGATCTTAGGGTCTCTTCCTGGCAGAGTCTTGGCCACTGTATCGATCACTGCACTAGTTCCTGGGGGCTCCTATACCATGGTAACCCAAACAGAGTGGTTTACAAAAACAGAAAGGTCTTGTTCCACAGACTTAAAGATGGGAAGTCTGGTATCAAGGTGCCCAATGGTGCCAGCACACATTACTTCTGCAGCTTTCCAGGAATCTTTGCCTTGTCCCGGCTTCCAGGAATATCTGGCATCCCTTGGCGGCTTGCTGGGGATCTCTGGTATTGCATCCTAGGCTTGTTGCTGAGTTGCATGACCTCTTCTTGCACTGTCCCGGGGCCCTCGCTGTGTGACTGGTCTTCACGGGCTGTAATCTTCTAAGCACAGCATGATGCTGGTTCAGGGCTCACCTTCCTACAGGTGACCTCGTCTTAACCAGCCATACAGCATCTGCACCTATCTTACGTCCAAATCAGGTAACATTTTAGGGAGCTAGGGATTAAAACTTCATCACATTATCATTTGGGGTACACAATTCAACACACCAGATGGGTTGGCCATTTATATAAAAACAATAGCCAGCTGTTCACACACACATATACATGTACACACTCACACTCATTCATTTGCAGGGCCAAATCCACTTTGTATCCCCACATTAAGGAGATACCATGACTGATTCAGGAAGTGCAAAAGATCCAGCCAATACAGGAAGTTTTTCACTCTAAGATTTCTAACATGATAACAACAGTAGTTGAAATGTGACCAAATACGCTTTCTTTCTATCTAGAAATTAGGCTCTGGGGACTCAGACCCTTAAAGATGCCTGTGGCCGCACATTAATTTGCAGCTTGCCTTGTGCCTGAGGCTGTCCTTGGAGCAATCTTTCTGACCCTCATGTTTTAAGAATCTAGAAGAGAAAAATATGCTAAGGAAGAGATGGAGGAGCTACTTGGTAAGTCAGTCACCACCCTAATGGCCAACACTTCAGGCGAGGTAAAGAGGCTGACAGTTTCACACTTCTCAGGAAAGAAGACAGCCCAGGCACAGAAATACAAGCAATCCTACTTTCCAAAGCTGTCAGTTTCCCACGTAAGATGAACTTTTATTTTTTATTTTTAAAACATACCCAAAGAAACCCAGTTTCTGGTATGCCATGAACAGTAGACTAGATGAGGTTACACAGACCTTCTCAGGCCCGGGCCTCATGAAGGAGAAGCCAGTGAAGAGCAGAAGCCCCACCAGCTGCCAGCTCATAGACTTGTCATCATTTTGCTTCTTGGTTGTCTTTTTGCTGCACCATTAACTTAGGAAACCTCTGGGTTTGCACCAATCAGCGATGCCAGCATTCTCAGGAATCTTTGAAGTCAAATTCATACAAAAAGCAAAAGTTTTGTCCAACTTAATGATGCCACAGGTAAGAATCTGCTCACTGTAATTTACTCTGCACAGGCTGGGGACTGAGTTGCTAATTACAGCAGACAGCAAAACACCCAGAAAGCAAACGTTGGTGACAAAGTGAATAAGGCAAGGCAAAGATAGAACGTCCCTGTGCTCTGTCAGAGTAACCTCATCTAGGTCTTCCCTCTGGAGGGGCAGGGTACTGCTGAGATGCACTGGTCAGCACTCTGAGATGCTCCCTTGCATTTGAGTGACAGGCACTCAGGCTCCAGTAGGTCTCCTCTTGGCTCCTCCTCCTCATCCTGAATCAGCCGTGACGCATGAGAACAACAGGTCAGCAGGATTCCCACACTCTAAATCAAGGGTGCCCAGGGGGAGTACCTTGGAAAAATGAATGAATGGACAAACAGCTGCATGGGTTTAGAAATTGCTCATTTCCCCTAAGGGATTTCGAGACACTTTTTCCTCCCTGATTAGACACAGAGTCACCAGAACCTTATGCAAACTTCCAGAGAAGGTGGCTTGGTGCCATCGAGGGACAGATGGCTCAAAGTCTCATGTTTTGTCAGAGTGTTACTCATAGATGTCAAGCAAAACCTTCCAGGGCTTTGACTAGACCAGTGGAATAAGAACAGGAGCACTCTGAGGACAAGCCCCCGGGGCACTCGCTAGTCAGGAGGGATGACACAAGGGGGCAGCAGAGCGGGTGCTTGCAGTCGTGGTGGAGCCCACAGTGCATCTAAATAATGCGGCTGTGGGTTCACCTTGTGGGGAACACAGATTTTTAATGTGAAGTAATGCCATGGGTCTGAACACAGAGTTAGCATCCCTGCTTGAAGAGGAAGACCACAAGTATGTGGTCAGCAGAGACCACGAAGAAAGCTTGCACAATCCCACTTCCTATCCTTAGATCAAATAAAACAAGACAGAGCCAGTCTCCAAGCCAGCTGTCCAAAGAAAGGACAAATCCAAATCGCAAGGCCTTACTCTGCATTGGTTAGAGAAGCCCATCAGCGCAGGCTGCTTTCTATGGAAGGAGCTGGGCAGGCCTGGGTAGTCAGGCTGTCTTGCAGAGTCAGGCAGCTGGGATCTCCTCCCTTCCCACTTCCCTCAGGCGGGCACCACACAAAGAGAAATGTGTGCTCCTTATTTGGGGAAAAGGGGCGGGAGAGTGTGGAAGCTGAGTTATTAAATTTAAAAGTAATTTTGATTTTTTCAGTAGTAATTTGAATACATTATGGGGGCTGAACATTATATTTGGATAAAAACTATATTTGGATATAGTTTTAACTTTTAAAAGGATGTTCTTGGGGGCTGGGGAGATAGCTCAGTAGAATAAGCACTTCCCTGGCAAGCACAAGGGCCTGAGTTCAATCCCGGGTTCCCCCCCAAAAACAAAGAAACAAAAACAAACAAAAAAAGGTTGTTCTTAAAGAGATTCTGGGTGCTTGTGGACTCCCTCAGGCATGAACAAAAGGGTAGAACTACAGTCTCCCCCATCTTCTGTGTATGACAGAACCATAGCTCCCCAAGACTACTGTGGCCTTCATCACCCATGGCCCCAAACCAGACACAACACATCAAGCCCCCGGGATTTCTGAGACATACAGATAAGGCACAGAAAGAAGGATAGTTCTATCTTAGAGAGCTTCACCCACACATAGTGAGAGCTTGGGCTTCTCTATTGTTTTCCTGGACTGGGGGACTGATGAGGTAGGAAGGTGAGACCAGGTGGCCGTGTCTTCCAGCTGTAGTCCCAGCTTGGGGGTGACGCTCAGCACTGAATGTGACAGACGCTTAAGTGTTCAATTTATGCGCTGCCCTCCATTTCTATTCAGCTAGTGTTCTAATATATACTGGGTAGTCTACAAGGCTTCTAGTTAGCTCCTGTGTAAGAGGTTCCATCGTTTTGTCCTTCTTTGGTTTTCTTTTCTTTTTTTTTTTTGGAATTGGGGATTGAACTCAGGGCCTTGTGCTTGCCAAGCAAGTGCTTCTTCCACTGAGCTGTCTCCCCAGCCCCTGGCCTCCTTTGAACGAAAGGTTCAGGTGTAACTTTCAGGTTAGTTTACCTCATGACTGAGTCTATATGAAATGATAACACCCCGACCTTGACACTTTCCACTTCTTCAAGAAAAGAAACATAAGACAATCTGACAATATCTTACCATCTGCAGCCAGCCTAGGCTAGGGGAAGGGAGCATAATTTCAAGACTGAGTACTTCCAGCAGCATCAGCGGTCATTAATGTCATTGTCACCTCAAAAAGCACTCAGCACCTTCAGTTCTGGCTAAGCACTTGGGGAGAAGTGTCCCAACTCGGAAAGGGGACCAAGACTGATGGAATCATGAAACTTCTTGTGGCCGTGGATGACATGGAGAATTGCTATAAAAGCTGAGGAGTTAGGAAACATCTTGCTCTTGACACAAGAAAGCTCTGAGGCTCCGCGCCGTGAGGTGACCTAGCAGCGCCACGTAAGGACAGCTCATGCTGTGCGCTGGGATGCTGCAGGCCTGTGGTGTGATGGATTTTTAATGGTACATTCTCTAAAAAACATCTTTTCTGAACCCTAGGAGTCTGCTTCCCACATTCAAAAATCTATAAATGTACATTTGATGCTATTTTCTGAATCATTCATTGATTGGGTATTTTTTTTAGAGTACACTTTTCCTGTTTTCTTTGATTACTCTATTGGCAGCGGTCTACACTACCCTGCTGGTCTGTCCGTGTTCAGCATCAGATTGACTCAGAACAGATCCCTGTCATGGGGGTCATCTGAATTCATACAGGACAATTGCAAGGTCCAAATGTATATTCAGTTGCTGAGAGCACTGACTTTAAGTAGAGATGTCCTCTCCAACTTTCTTTTATTAATGATATAAACAAAAATTTATGTAGACACTGAAGAGACACAGCCTCATGGAGCGAAAGATATATACTGCCTTCAGAGAAAGAGCTGAGCAAAGAGGTTTCATTCTGGCCATATTTAGGTTCTTAAGCTCATTTTGGAGTACATTCTTTTTTTATTCAGTCAACACCATTATTATGTATTGAATAATACAAGGCACCTTTGTAGGCATTGTTGATACAGCAGTGCCACTTGGTTTGGGTCTTCTATTTTGCTTAACTCACCTGCAGATGTTAAAGTTTTTGGCATATATGCATCACAGAACAGGGCTAACAAACCAGAAAGGCTATGTCCCATTCTTGGGTGTACAACTTCCATACTTCTAGGGTGGTGCTAACAAGACAGGAGCTGCTCAACCTTAGGCACACCTGGGGTGAGAGCCAGAAGCCAAAGTAGGCTACCGAGAGTGCTCAACAGAGGAAGTCCAGAGGCAGCAAGGCGAATGCCTGTCAGGGCCAAGCATGGGACCCAGGGAGGAGACCAGAGAAAGACGCAGGATCACAGGGGTGAGCAGGGAGCGAAGATACAATCTGTGAGTGAAAAGCAGGGACAGATGGGCCCATCAGAGAGGAGGCCCTCCCTGGCCACCCTGAGGGCCGTTGCCTCCCGGGAGGGCATCGTTTGCTTTAGGATTTAGTGAAATGAGTAAGGAATGCACCTTTGGTTGTGTATCTGGCATGGGTCACAGTGGCATCCAATAGGCCGTGAGGCTGGGGAAGTCAGGGCACTCACTCTGCCCACCTTGGTTTTTCCCTCAGGGTCACCTTCAGCTGACATTAGAGGAAAGGTGTGAATGTCGAGGCACCTACACCTCCGCCATCCCCGCCATCACGTTAGAATACCTCTTCCCACTGAGGAGTGTGCCTGGGAGCTCCACAGGGTATGACGAAGATACACGGTTAGAGCTTAAACTGAAATGAAATTACAGCAAGAGACATTTTCCCGTGAATCACCTTCAAAATTCTTGCCCTCGCTTTCAATATTCTTGCCATTTTTTTGAAGCAGTTCTGAGAGTCCTTTTTACGTAAGTGCCTTTACAGGACACAACGGAAAACAGTCACTGCAGTGGAACACGCAGTTCCTAAGCACCCCGCAACACAAAATGAGGCTTATAAAAACATAGGGGTGTGTCCTCACCCACCTGAGTGACAGGATCTGGTAACACAGACCTCCTCGCTCTTCCCCTAAGTCAAAATGACCACGAGAAAAAACATGAGCATGAGAGGTGAACATTTTGGATTAGTTCAGGACCTTGGTTCAGCCAGGACAGCACAACTAAAGACATCTGGGAAACGGGATACTTTAGAACTGCTTCAGAAAGTGGCAAGAATGATGGCGTAAGCATGCCTGAAGCAAGGGAAAAGAATCTGAGGGGGATTAATGATGTTATGTCTGATAGTGCAATAAATATAAAAAGTTAAAACTTTCACCCTGAGTGTCAACGCCATCTTCTTCTTATGCCCAGTCCATACAGGGACAGATGCAGGAAGTGGCAGAGGCTTTGGGTGGAGACTGGGACCTGGGAGACACCGTCTTCTTCACAAAGAGAGTGCTGCTGGCTTCAGGGCTGGAGTGAGGGCTGATGCCTGAGCTTCCCTTGTCAGCCTTCCCTCCAGTGCAGGTCATTAAGAGCCAGAGCGAGAGAGCAAGCGCCCAGCAGGAGCAAAGCAAAGTGCTCTGGAAGTCAAATTCTCCTTTTTCTCCTACTCCACTGCCTCTGGGGTTCTGCCCAGGAATTATGGCTCCTTAATGGGCCTTGTTTGGGCCCCAGGTGTCATCTTTCCTGTACCAAAAACTTGCTAATCTCATCTCTTCTTTTGCTTTGGATGTGTAACACGTTCCATCACTTTAAATTTAATAAAGAGACATTAAACAGCGTCACCAGCTGCGTGTGAGCATCGGCAACGCCACATTTATTCAGGAACGTGACACACAGGCTTTCTGGATACGGTGCTTCTGGTTGGGGATTTTAAGAATTTATAGGAAAATTAACTTCTGCTTACATTCTCAACTCGGCTCTGGAATCATAAAATTTTCTTAATACAGTTATGCACTTTTACAACTCCAGTGCCTTCAGTTTGATGACAGATCAGAGTTTCCCACTGTGGAGGACGAGGAAACTAAATTGGGTGAAGAGCGTGTGCTGTCACTGCGTCTCTGAACGTGCTCGGGTTGGCGAGAAATGCTTTCGGCCAGGCAGTGTGGTGCCCGACACCTTCTGGACACCAGTGAGCGGTTGGTACCCGAGGCACAACCTATTTTTCTGAAGCAGCAATTCTATGCAAATATTTAAGGCATTCATTAGTGTATATCCAAACAAACAGGGGACTAGCACAGAGGAGAAGGCAAGACACTCTCCGAAAATATACTCATGCCTGAGGGCCACTAAACGGACTTGATAGAAAGGATTTTGCTACTGGAATGTGAAACAGAGGCCATTAAAATGATTAAAATGATTTTCCTCAAGCAGGGACTACAGTATCCAGTGTAAGTTCAGGAGAGGGACCTGACAACAGGAAACTTCCGTGTACTTCAGCGGGCCCTACAAGACCTGCTTGCCCAACTTATCCTACAGGTGGGAGAGTGGATGCAGTCTTACCTTTCTTGGTGTCAGGTTCCCTTTGTACCAGAGAATTTCTAGGGCCTACCATTCTCCACCGTACTACAGTATTTTAGGAAATCTCTAAGAAATAGCATGAAAACTACTCATTTTTCCTCCCGGTATTTTTGTTCTGAACTGAGATCTATTTTTCGTTCCTGGGGACATTTGGTGATTTCTGGGGACATTTTTGGATGCTGTGAGTAGGGGGGAAAGGGACTGTGATTAGCTTCCAGTGCATGGCAGAGGCCAGAGAAGTCATTAACACCCTACCAAGCACAGGACAACTGCCCAAGCAAAATTCTTCCCTCCGAACTGTCAACAGGGCTGAGGACTTGGGGCTGCTCCTATCAATACAGCTCAGATTACAGTGCAATTTTTCTCTCTAAACCACTTCATATCTTTTAAGTATATTTGATGACACACACTGCAAGTAATAACAAAACCACTCACCATCTTCCTGTCCTTTGAAAGAAAGCCTCACCCCGATTATCAATGACAACAGCAGTGCTAATTTGCATTCAACCCACCCTGCTCTCCACATTCCTCAGAGAGCTGAAAGCAGGGGGCAGGTGGAGGAAGCAGTTTACCTTTCGAACAGGACCTGGCTGTAGTCATCCAGGACATGGGAGTGGGTGTGCAGCAGGATGGTGTTGTAGCTCACCAAGGCCACCAGCATGATCAGCATCTTCAGCTCGTAATTCACCCTCAGGAACACGGAGCAGGAGATTAGCCCCAAAATGCAGCTGTATATGAAGTACTGGGACAGGGACACAGGACAGATACTTAGGCTCTCTTCTGAGAAATGGTGACACAAGTAACTGAAGACCACCAGGAAGTCTATGGGGTCAGCTTATAAACTGGCTGTGAAAGTGGATGTCCATTCCTGTCCTCTGATCCAGAGGTGAATACCTAAATGTCATGGAGTCCCAGGAATTACTTACTCTACAGCTTTCTGAACAAGCCTGGCAATGATAAACAAAAATAAGCATGCACATCGTCAAATATTATACAGAAACAATTTTTAAAGCAACCTATGTGAAAGATACTGTAAACAAATGCCATTTATGTCTTGAAAACAAAAATGGTATAAACCCGTATACACTGATGGACTTAAAAATTATATCACAGGAAATCTTTTTTGACCATTCAATTCTTCAATTTTTTTTTTTTTTTTTTTTTTTTTTTTTTTTTTTTTTTTTTTTTTTTTTTTTTTTTTTTAGACAGGGTCTTGCTATGTAGCTCAGACTGGCTTCAGCTCACTGTGTAGCCCGGGCTGGTCTCGAACTCTTCATATCCTCTTGCCTCAGCCTCCAGTACTGGGATTATAGGCATGCGCCACCACGCCCAGCTTTAATTCATTAAGAGGATATAAATTATTGTAGATGACTCTGTTCAAAGCATAAGAAAGCCAAGGCACTTCCTCTCATGGCTTAAGTCCAGAAGTCTCCCGAAGTCTCTTGTGGTGACATGTGGGGCTTTTCACAGGTAGCTAGAGCTAGAGTGTGCACTCAAATCGGCCTGGCAAATCATGCAACTGTCCTGGGAGGTGCTTGTGGGAATGGAGACAGCACCTTGACTGGGTGTGCTTCTTTCTGCTAACACCCATACAAGACGGCTTGCTTGGTGTTGTCTTTGTTGTCCTAGAAATCTGTCTTTTCATTTTGCAAATGTATTAGTCCATAACAGATTGGAAATTAAGTAAAATAAAGTGAAAATAGAAGCTGGTCACAACGAGGGTGAGAAACTGATTTGGTAACCTGGTAGTGGCCCCCTAGTAGTTAGAATGATCCTCAAAGGGACTTGCAGAAGCTGGCACTCACCACGGGATCTGGCTGTGGCTGGGCGCTCACTGATGCCTTGTCCTGTTCCATCTTCCAAAGCACCTTGTTTAAACAATTAAGGCAACCCTATATCTGTCTCATGTCACTCAGGGTGGGGGTGATGAGAACACCCACCTCAGAGGAGTCTCAGGGTGGCTGAATACTGTAGAACACAGTCCCTGGGCTGGAACATGCGAAGCTGTACAGATTGGACTGTTACTATTTCAAACTGGGGCTCCTTGAAAGTTTCAGTTTTTACAACAGTTCTGCTTATGAACAATGTACTTCTAAAAGGCTATGCTACTAAACATTATCAACTAGTGCAGCAGGATAAGGAAAGAGAAAGGAGAATAAAGAAACACTTTCCTGAATGGACACATGTGTCAAGGCCTGTATATGAGCTCTGGGGAAGCTGGGAGCTGGGATCCAATTGCAAAGATTCCCCTGTGTGTCAATGCCTGTAAGACATCCCTTACATTTCAGAAGTTAACATTCATTCTTAGACTTTTGGCAAAGTTTGGTATTTTGGGAACATCGATAAATATATATACAATAGGTTGTCAGATAGATGATAAACATTTAAAATATTTTGTTACAGCTAAAGACTCACTGCCATGAATCCCCCTCACTTTGAGCACCCACATTTCATCTTTCTTGCCACTTTCTGAAGCATCTCTGGAAGTCCACTTTCGCCAGTGGCTTTCCGTGGTGTTATGGCTGATACCTAGATGTCCTACCCAAACCTCATGTGCTCATAGGTGGAGCTTTTTGGAGACTGGATCTAAGGTATTCGAATGTAGATTAAGGGTATGATACTGGGATTAGGGATGTGTGGATTCCTCCACTAATTGTTTTTGCTTAGTTCTTGGTGTGGATAATGGAAGTCCTTCCCTGGGCGAGGGTGGAGCCCATCAGCAGGCTTAGGGCCTGGATGAACTGTAAAGGGAGGGAGGGAAAGCAGGCTTGCTACTACTAGTGCTGCTGCAGCTTGCAGCTTTCTGCCTGCTCTGCCATGAACTGTTTCTCCTCTGTGATGCCCCTCTGCCATGCTGCGTTGCATATTTAATACACACACACACACACACACACACACACACACACACACACTCAGTGCTGCTGCTGAGTGGCATTCTACAGAAAGCCAGCATGGTAAGAACACTGCAGTTTGTCTTATCCACTTTATCCTGCCGATCTGGCACTGAGACTTCTCAGCCTTTTCCAAAGTGAAAATGCCCACATGAAGTAAACACTGGAACAGATTCAGAACCTCCAAGCAGCCTTGACGACAGAAATAGAGATGCAACAGTGTACAAAAGAGGACTTCAGAATTGCTTCAGAAAGTGGCAAGAACTACGGGACGAGTGTGTTCAAAGCGAGTGAAGTGTTTTGCGGGGGTTAAGGGCAATGAGTCTCTCTCTATAATCATTTTTTATTTGAACATATACCTTACTTTACTTTTTGATCAAATCTTGTATGTCAGTGACAAGCATTTTTTTAGTCCATTTTCTATCAAGTGGCCTTTCCAGAATGCTTAGAGGATCTGCAGAGAGGGTTTGGTATTAAAAGGTAGATTGAAACCTGTGGTCCACCAAAAGGGGTGTTTTAATCAATTAATTAATTAGATATAGAGTCTCACTATGCAGTTGAGACTTATATCGATTCTCCTGTCTCAGCCTCCCCAGCACTGGGATTACAGGTGTGCGCCACAATGTCCAGTTTCAGTAACCAGCATGACATCCGATACTGGGGATTGAACCCAAGTGCTTGTGCTTGCGAGGCAGGTGCTTAGACCACTGAGCTATCTCCCCAGCCCCACAAAGAGGTGTTGGGAAGAGCTGGAATGGGGCAAGGAGGTGGGGTCCCTGAAGACCAGGATTCTCTACTACATAATTCAGCATACCAGGTGGAAGAGCAGGTGATCACAGGTTGGCAGTGGGCTAAGTGAGCCACCGAACTGACTGCTAAACCAGATTACTAGTCATTTTTACTACTTCTGGTGTAACTGATAAAATCAACTTGGGTTTTATCACAAGTAATTATTGCTGTTACGTTGAGTAATTTACTAAAGTTTATCTGGGCCTCAGTTTCCTCATTGGCAATATCAGAATTCCAGATAATATCTACATGACAGAGTAGTCTATTGGATGAAATGATACCATGCCTATAAAATGCCTGCTTCAGTAGGAAGAGCTCATCTTTATGGTTTGATATTTTAATATAACCTTTTAATGCATGAAAATACGGTTCGCTGATAATCCCTGAGATCCACATTGAGCTAATACCACTAGATCTCCATGTGTTTCCAGAAGTTTTTGCTACTCATTATTAGCATGAGGCTATTTTAGAAAATTATGGTCATGCTCTGGAATGATTTTAAATGATACTTTTTAATTAATAATTTATCATGAGTACACATAATATTAAATATTTCTGTGTTGTAAATGCTGGGTATAAATTTATTATGTGCTTATAACTAATTGCAAAATTGCTTTTTCTAACCTTCACCTTTCTTTTTTCCTGTTCGTTGTTATATGCACACTTGGACAAATACTCCGATGGGTAAAGATTCATGTGTTGAAGAGTAATTTCTGGGAGTAAGCTTGCAGGGTAAACACTCCTGCATTTACGCTTTTCTGGCATGAGCACTGAGAAAGGTCATGTGACTTTATGCCACTGTCGGCCATGAGTGGGACACTGCTCCCTTGCCAGCACGAGGCATGTTGTAACAGAGGGCCGGAGTGGTGTGGACACATGTAGCGTGCACACACACGCTCCACACATATGCACGCACGCACACACACGCACACACACACACCCTCTGTTCCGTCAAGGAGAAGTGCGGCGCCGCTAGGTTCCTGGAGAGCTCCGGCAGGTCTGAGGCCACCATGCAGTTTCCAGGCTGTGGGAGCTCGCCAGCCGGGAGCCTCCTGGATCAGCTGAGCAGAATCTCCTCCTGCGGATCCATGACTGGGTGAGGGCGGCCTGTGTGCTCATCCTACCTACATTTTAAGCTTTTTGTGTACATTTTTTTTACCAGATTCTAATAAGAGTGAATAAATTCTGCCTTTGTTCCTCTTAGATTTTTAATTGCTTGAATTATAATACACTGACTTAGCTCAATAAGATTTGTAGTGCTGCCCTCATGATTTTAGTGATTCCAAGTGTGGTGAGTGATTCTACTCAAACATAATGGACGGAGAGATTTTTTCTTTCTGAATTCTTCCCAGCTATACCTCCTTACCTAAGCAAAGCACAAACTTTTAAAATGTAAATTGGTATGAGAATGCCATGAGAATTGGTCGCTCTAGGCTCCACTGCCTAGGAGCACATCATGCCCTGGCTGATGTCCTTGGCATAGGAGGAGGAGGACACAAACCACATGACCAAAGCAGCAACTTTCCCTCCCGCAGAGGGGAAGCACAGCTTTCTCCCAGGGAGATTACAGTGGTTAAGCCCTTCTGATGAATCCTACCTCTTACTTTCCATACAACTTAGTTAGAAAAGTTGAAGTCTCATCCTCACGAGGACTCATGATAACACTTAACTTGAGAACGAGGACTCCTGGGATAAGGCATGAAGCCTATGGTCTCTTTCGTCCCGAGCCCTGGGGACATGGCTATGGGACCATGAGCACCTCACTCAGGAGCTGCGAGAATCCTTCTCGTGAGAATACCAGAGGCCTCTGCTATCTGTACATAGAGCCGTGAGCTTCTTAGGAAACTAAAATGATGATGTGAAGAGAAAAAGGATAAAAGCAAAATATCAAGAGAGCAAAGCCCTGAAAGAAGAATAGGTAAAGAATCTACTATTATAGCTAATTAAGTTAGAAAAATTGGTAGAAATCTTTGAAAGTATGCATACCAAAATACTTACATAGGTCTCCCAAATAGTTTACACTAAATCTGTGTGTGTGTGTGTGTGTGTGTGTGTGTGTGTGTGTATTTTACAGGGGGTCGAACTCAAGACCTTGTACTTGCCAGGCAGGCACTTACATCGCTGAGCTATATCCCCGGCCCAGTTCACACTAAATCTTAACACAAATTAAATAGGAATAATCTATGCTACTTTTAAATGATTCTTCAGAAAATGAAAAGAGGGGGATTAAATTACTTTTCTTTCCACAAACAATTCATGAAAAAAGGACAAGACACGCTTAAGCAGTAGGTAGCTAATTTAACTTTTTTTCAGTAAGAAGGCTGATGTGTTAGAAGTTTAGGAATTCCAGTCAAGGCCTGCTGTTCCACTAATTGCACTGAGTCAGTTAACAAGAACGCCCGAGGACAGAGCCCCCAGAGGCATGGAAAGAGACCATACCACATTATCACGGTGGTCGGGGGATAATTGCATCCTCGGAAACAATAAGCAAAATCTATAACCAAGATGCCCAGACACTCCGGGGTCGTTTCACTGGGTATACACAACAGCACACAGGCTAGAAGTATAGTGCCTCTCAGAGAACGCACACCAGCCCTGGTGGTGAGAACATCAAAATAACACCCTGAGCTTGCAGGCGCAGGACTGGGCGTCCCAGGGGACCGGGACTTCTAACCACAGCTGACATTTATACACTCAGGCCCTACTCAGGGGTTGACATGGGAACAGAAAAGTCTAGTACGGAACTGCCCCTCTGTCGGAAGGTTGTTGACAGCACACTGGAAAACAACAAAACAATAATGAGAGCGGACTTCTTACCGGGAGGAAAAATAAATTCTGTGCGCGGAGAATCGCTGCCTGGTTAGGCGAGGCGGAAAAATTTGCGTTTGATGCATTGGCAACTGGAAGGACAGCCTCGTCGGAGTCACTCAAGAAAAACTGCAGAGAGAAGTGATTTTTTCAGTGAATTCATGCAAATTAGATAAAAATAGATAGCAGGAGGGAGCCGCGTTTTGGGGTGGCTGTGCTGCCTGTGGGCAGCTGGCAAGACTGGTCATGTGGACAGTTGGTTTCTCTCAGCGCCAAATGCCTATCGCGATCATTTTCCCCTTTTGAGGTTCTGGCTATTCCACAGAGAAACAGCTCTTCTGTGCTTCATATTCAATAAAAAACTCTCTATCTTCAATTCCAAGGAAAATGTGTCAAATATTAAAAATGCATGCTGCGTAGAAAAGTGGAATTGATTAGCTAATGTCACTAGAGTCACAGAAATCTAACTCTACCATAGAATCAGTGTCTTTGGAACACTTTCCCGCAGGATCTTTGCCTTCTCGGTCCACACAGTAAAGAGTCAATAGAATTCGCTAAGTTTTTGACCTTAAGGAAGCAAATTAGTTTTGCAGGCAAAAGGCGCTCACTGACACCAGCATTTGTATCTAGTATTTGTGAGTTTCTGGCATTTCAGATTACAAAGGATTACACATTTGAGAAGCCGGATGTCATCAGGGCTGTTGGAAAGATGATTATAATTAAAAGTGATCTAGAAAAGACCAAAGCAATTAGCTCTTCTGATTTTTAATTTTTTTCTTTGTACAGGTTTGTAGTACATGAGGATCACATTCGTTCTGAGGAGCTGGGACGTGTACACACACATCTTTTTACATCTCCCTGCCATATCTTTCCTCCTGTCTCCATCTTTTGGTTTCTTTCCCATTTGCAAAATAGATAATAGCAAGTGGGGAGGACAGCCACTAGCTGTTATGTAATCATCACTAACAATATTAGTGTCTGGTGAGAGTGGCAACCTGTTGTTCAGGCAGGAGAAACAGTGTCATACAATCCCCCTGTCTGTCTCTGTCCCTGTCTCTCTCTCTCTCT